AGGAGGAGGAGGAGGAGGAGGAGGAGGAGGGGGGCGGCCCCCAGGGCTGGGCAGGGCATGCAGGCTGTGATGCAGAGCCAGCCAAGCCTTCATGAGCCCACCAGAGCTCTGAGGCCAGGCCGTCACACTGCACCTGCAAACACATGCAGCCTGAGCCTGCCAGAAGCTTCCTACCACTCTGGCAGGGTCGAGCTCCAGCCTCTGCATTCCTCAGGCCTCATCTGCGCCGATCGCTCCCTGCCCGCTCAGTGGCGAACAGCTCAGAAGGCACTGCTCTGAGACTTTTATCATCCCACAGCTCACACCAACCTGAGAACTAAGCTCTGATTTGCTTATCTTGCCCAAATTCCTATCTAAGGGGTCTGGAGAGTCATGCCCTACAAACCATAAATCCTCATCAGATGGGTTTTATTTAACCCTGCATATCATGACTTACTTTCCAATCTGACCGGCATAACATGACAAGGAAGAAAATCGAAATATTTTATTCCAAAATATGTTTCTGTGCCATATCTTGAAATAGCCCTGCAAAGCTGTCCTTTGGAAAATTTGCGTGTGTAAAGAATCTCTGTTAACTTAGCTAGTTCTTTTTCTCCCAGGCCCTCCCAATCCTGAAGAGATTAACTGAGAGTCTAGCATCTTTTAAAGATCTGAATAGGAAACATTTGTCATCTATCGTCTCTAAGGACAGTCACTATAAGACTTCAAAGGACCTTGGTCTCCACAATCTTTTATCTTAACATGAATATTTCCTTTCTATGGATCCCCAGGTCTTTAGACAAACTCAACCAATTGTCAACCAGAAAATGTTGAAATTCACCTATAGCCTGAACCGCCCCCCCCACACCTACACACACTTTGAGTTGTCTCACCTTTCTGAATCAAACCAATGTATATCTTTTTTTAATTCTTTTGTGAGATGGAGTTCCACTCTTGTCACGCAGGCTGAAATGTAGTGGCATGATCTGGGTTCACTGCAACCTCCGCCTCTTGGGTTCAAGCAATTCTCCTGCCACAGCCTCCTGAGTAGCTGGGATTACAGGCATGAGCCACCATGCGCAGCGAATTTTTGTATTTTTAGTAGAGATGGGGTTTCACCATGTTGGCCAGGCTGGTCTCGAACTCCTGACCTCAGGTGATCCACCCACCTTGGCCTCCCAAAGTGCTGGGATTACAGGCGTGAGCCACCATGCCCAGCCAAACTAATGTATTTCTTAAATGTATTTGATTGATGTCCCATGCCCCCCTAAAATATGTAAAACCAAGCTGTGCCCTGACCACCTTGGGCACATGTGCTCAGGACCTCCTGAAGGCTGTGTCACAGGCCATGGTCACTCAGATTTGGCTCAGAATAAATGCCTTCTAATATTTTAAAATATATATATATTTTACAGAGTTTGACTCTTTTCATCAACATCATGATACATAGGGTTAATAAAACCCATATGAGGAGACTTTACGGTGTGTAGGGCATGACTCCCCAGACCCCTGAGATAGGAATTTGGACAAGATAAAAAAAAATCAGTGCTTAGTCCTCAATTACTTCAAGGTGGAGAGTGAGTTCCAGCCTTAAAGTAATCTTTTGTTGGAGAGAAAATTCCAGAGGTATTGTAACCAGGGTCGGGGGTCGTGGGATGTGGGGGAGGCTTGGCTCCCTCCCCGGTGGGATGTGCCCTGAGTTTCCTGGGCTTTCACTCACCCAAGAACGGGGAGAAGAAACCTAGCAGCTCGGTGATATTGTTCAAGTAAATACTGGACCCAAAGAGCTTGGCAGAAAAGCGATTTAACAGGCAGAGAGAGAGAGAGAGAGAGAGAAATAGAAAGAGACAGCAAGAGAGAGAGAGGGAGAGAGAAAGAGAGAGAGAGCGCTCCTGCGCTGTCATGGGAGGAGATGCAGAGATAGGTAAAGGAGCAAGGGGGATTTTAATCCTGGAATTACTCCCGCCCCATTTAAGTTTTTGTCCAGTGAGAGGAGTTCTTTCAAACTTCCTCTGGAGTGACTGATCTTCAACTTTGATATTGGATTGGTTGCCTGACCCACAATTAAAGCCTCCTCCCTCCGAGCTTTTGGGGGGCTTTCTAAACAAAGGAAGCTCACCTGAAACTTTACCCAGCCTGTACTCGAGAACGTTAGACAAGGAACTCCAGGTTTCCAGATGGGGAGGTGGATGGAGGCCTGCTGGGAAAGTTCTTGCCTTTGAAACCACGCCCCTTGTGAGAAGGGAGATGGGGCAGAGAGTTAACACAGCCCCTCAGTCCCCCCTCTTAACAGGAAAGTTCAGCTGCTGTTGGGACAGGGGCATTGATCGCTCTTAGCTACTTCCTGCTGAATCAGGGCATAGAATGGGCCCTGCAGTTGAGGTTTCCCCCAGAGGGGAGTCTTTTAGGGGTGCAGGTTGATCCAGAGGTCCACAATAGAGCTTCTGAGCCACGGATATCCAGGGTTCCATTTGCAGGATCGTTTGTGGCCTTATGGCTTTAATTCTAGAAGAAACGAACTTGGCAAGAAGGTTAAAGATGAGAGGCCCGAAGTCCAGCAATAACAGAATGGTTATAAATGGCCTAGGAGAGGGTAGAGCCAGGACAGCCAGCTGTTAAACAAGCCCCATGCTCCTGTTTCTTGAAAGTCTTCAGCCCGTGTTTGATTGATCCCTGAATTCTTTAGCTTTGTTTAAGACAATACCTGATTGGTTTATAACATAGCAGCATTTCTTCCCAGAAAGAGACAGGTTCCTTCTCTCTCTGCTGCTGGCAGATTTGGGGACCTTCTCCTCTGAGGAGCTACAGCAGCTAAAGAGTTGAGCTGTTTCTGCAGTGAGCTTCCTCTGCAGAGAGAATCAGCAATCTCTTTCACGTTATTATTTAAATCCTGAGATACCTTATAGTAACTGATTAGAGGTAATAACTTTTCCAATGCCAGTTCCAAATTCTCCTATTATCCCCCCGCACTATGAAAGGAATAGTTGGGGTTTGAAGGTCCGGTTACAGATGGCAAAGTTAAGAGTGATAGTCTTGTGAACGCCAGGATGTAAATTAGACTCAGGAGCAATGACTTTCCTGGGGCTCCCATTGGAAGAGCAAACGTAGACCCTCTAACAGCTTGCATGTGTGCAAAGGGCCGTCTCCTGGAACTTCAGGCCGTGGAGTGGAGGGTTGATGATTCTCTTCAGGAGGCGTCCAAGGCTTCAGCCGAGTGTGATGAATCCACGAGTCAGTTCCCACCACCTTAACTACCGTTGGGGTAGACAGAATAACCGAAAATGGTCCGTCCCAAGGTGGGTCTAGAGAGGGAGAGTCTGAGGGGAGAGCCTTAACAAGCACCAGGTCTCCAGGGCAGAACAGCTCTTTCCCCTTTTCCCTAGGGTGTCCTTCAGGTAAGGTCCAAAGAGCCTGTTGGTACTTAGCCAAGCAGGTTATATATTTTAGGAGATCTGCTGTTTCCTTGTCTAATACAAGATCATTAGTAAGAAAGGGCTGTTTATAAAGCATCTCACAGGGACTGAGTCCTATTTTCCGAGGAGAGTTTCCAGCTCTTAAGAGTGCTATCAGTGGGGAGGGCGCAGAGTTAAAAAAAAAAAAAAAAAAAAAAAAGTGCTGTCGGTAATAGAGAAGGCCACGAGAGGTGGGTTTCCTGTGCCAGTTTCTTTAGGTGTCTCTAAAGAATTTCACTCATCTTTTCCATTCTCCGTGAACACTGAGGCCTCCAAGCACAGTGGAGATGATGCTGTTTTCCTAATGTCCTGGAAATTCCTTGGGTCAGTATCTGGTCCATTTCAGGATCTGACCCCTGAAGCTTCCAAGCAAATAGATGACCAGGTAAGTGAACATGGTGTGAGCTGAACAAGCATCCAGGTAAAATAAATATGCAGAAGGCCTGGGAGTACAGGCTGGGAACAGATAGGAATGGAGGTTCACATTCCCAGGCTGGATTTCAAGAAGAAAGGCAACGTAGCTTGTCTCAAAGCTGCATCTTCAGACTGGGGTGGGAGAGGAGGCAAGGGGAAAGGGCAAAAAAGTTTTAAAACGTGGTTTGAGCTTTAGCTGTGTGAAAGGGAAATACACCTCGGAACCCTAAAATCCCTCAGTCAAGGGAAAAGTCATCTGGGAACTGTGCCAGGCAAACCTGCCTCCAATTTTATTCCTAAATAAGATGCTGCGAAGATAAAAAGCTAGGAAGCTCCCTCACAATTTGGCCACAAGGAAATTCCTTGTGGGCTTCAAGATCTTCACCCTAAAACACTTCTGTTGAATTTCACCCTGGCAATGTAAACGACAGCTGATCTTCACAGGTGTGGGACAGGTCATCCCCCTGCTCACCAGAGACACATGCCTGTTTGCTTTCTCTGCCTTGTTGTTTATGTAAAAATACAGATTCACTAAGTCAGACCAAATTGTATATTCAGTGAAAGGACTCAAAAGAATGCAATCTTGGTTTCTTATTGTAGCAGGAAAGGCAGCAAAACAAACCTCTCCAACACAGAACTGGGAAGGAAGTGGTGAATTATTCAGCTGGGAGCAGCGGGCAGCATAGCTGCCTAACAGCCTAGCTCCCCAACAAAGAAAATCCGCACCCTTTTAAAGGATTACAGCTCTAGAAATTACATGTGAAAAGGTCTTGATCCATGAAGTAGGTGTGGGGTATGTGACTTAGGTGGCGGTCTGATCATGCGTAAGTGAAAACAACACCTTCCGGAAAGGTTTCTCCACACCACATCCGTGCTCTATAGATGGGACTGTGGTTAGCAGTAGGGGTCTTATCCTTAACCTGGCTAGTGGCACCAACCAGTCCCTCCTCTGGCTGACTTCTAACTTCTCCTTTTGAGATGCAATGTAGAAAGCTGAAAAGGATTAAGGGTCTCCTTCCTCATTATCTACCAATGACCTGGAAGCCCCCTACCCAAACTTCAAGTTGTCACCTTTCTGGACCGAACAAATGTACATCTTATATATATATTTTTTCTTCTTTCTCTCTCTGTTTTTTCCATCGTACACATATTGATGTCTCATGTCTCCCTAAAATGTATAAAAGCAAGCTGTACCCCAACCACCTTAGGCACATGTCCTCAGGACCTCCTGAGACTGTGTCATGGGCTTGTTCTTAACCTTGGCAAAATAAATGTTCTCAGATATTTTGGATTCACAGCTGCTAAGCTGCTTGGTTACAATTGAAGGCTCATAGGTTAGGGGTTTTTCAAAGGTAGTTTGGTGGGCAGGGGGCTGGGGTATGGGGAGTGCTGATTGGTTGGGTCTGAGATGAAATCAAGTTGTCTTTGTGCTGAGTGGCTTCTGGGTGGGGCCACAGGAGCTGCAGTCTAGCTGGATCCATCCATGTCAGACATGCAAGAAACCTGAAAAGGTATCTCAAAAGGCCAATCTTAGGTTCCACAATAGTGACATTATCTGCACGAGTAACTGGGGAAGTCGGTTATTTTGTGACCTCCAGAATAATGGCTGATGAAAGTTTATGTCTACACCTTAGTGGAATTCAGGCTCCTCTATCCTCCTAGCCCAGTAGGTTCACCTTGCCACTGCCTAAACACAACCAATTTATCAAGACAAGGGAATTGCAATGGAGAAAGAGTAATTCACGCAGAGCTGGCTGTATGGAAGACCAGAGTTCTATTATAGCCACATCAGTCTCCCTGGGCATTCAGAGATCAGGGTTGTTTTTTTTTCCACTTTTTTTTTTTTTTTTTTTTTTTTTTATTTTGCTCTGTTGCCCAAGCTGAAGTGCAGTGGCACAATCATAGCTCACTACAGCTTTTTTTTTTTTAATTTGCATTTTTCTGATGACTAATATCTTGAGCATCTCTTCTTGTGCATATTGGCCGTTTGTATATCTTTTGTTAAGTGTCTGTTCAAATATTTTTTTTTTTTCATTTTTTTGGGGGATCAGAGTTTGTAAGGATAAACTGGTGAGTATGGGCTTGGAAAGTGGTAAGTGCTGATTGGTCAGGCTGAAAATAAAATCACAGGGTGTCAAAATGAGTTCGCTGATTTCTGTTCCTGGGTGGGATCACAGAAGTGGTTGAGCCAGATTATCCATCTGGGTGGCGTCATCTGCTGAATCCCAATGCAGGGTCTAGAAAATATCTCAAGCACTGATCTTAGGTTTTGCAACAGGGATGTTATTCCCAGGAGCAACTTGCAAAGATTCAGACTCTTGCAGCCAGAGGTTGTGTGGCCCCTAAACTGTAATTTTTACTCTTGTAGCTTAATGTGTTAGTCCTCCAAAAGCAGACTGTCCCCAGACAAGATGGATTTTTTGGGGAATGGGCTTAATCCATAATTTCCTTCCCAAAGCTAGTTCAGTGTACATCCAGGAATGAACACAGGAAGCTTAGAAGGAAGATGGGGGTGGGTTAGGAGATGTTTCCCTCTCATCTTTTCTTCAGTTATGATTTTTGCAAAGGCGGTTTCCGTGGTCTCCTCATTAGCTTTACAAAGGCTGTTTTGACTATTATTTAAATTGTAAATGTCTCCCAAAGTTAGCTTTGCTTATCCAGGAATAAATAACGCCAACTGCAAGACGGGGCTTGGCCAGATCTCCTTCAGGGCCATCATTCTCTCACTGACACAATTTTTTGCAAAGGCGGTCTCAGAATGCCTGTCTTAATGTAACTGTGGCCCATGTAACGATATTTAGGGAGGGTCTTCTCTGACCTATAAAAGGCTGAAATGCAGGTAAGGGCTCTGCCGGACCTGCTCGTGCCTCTTTCCTATAAACGCGTCTTTTGTAAATGCTGGGAGGGAGGGAGACAGGGAAGGAACGCAGCCCCAGGGCTGCCCTGGGTTTATCTGAATCGTAACTTGGAGCTGTGCAAAGTCCACCCCATGCACCCTAGGCCCGCGCTCAGACAGGCCTAGGCGCTCCACCACGGTCGCGCGTGGGACCGAGCCCACCCCACTCGGTTCTTAGAAGCGTTAAGTTCAGCCCTCAAGGCGCCGACTCAGGCACTGCCGCTGACACCCACGCACTGCTCACTGCGCGCTTCCGCGGTCACGTTAGAATGGCGTCAGAGCCAGGCGCCCTACGCCGCGCATGCGCAGAAGCGGAGACAACGTGTCAGAGGCGCCCATGGGGCCCCAGGGCGCTCGCGTAGCCCCGCCCTCCTCGCTAAGCCGCCAATGGGCTCTCAGGATCCGCCCCTGACGACGCGGGCCCCGCCCCTGGAGACGCGCGCTGCGAAGTCGTCACCTGTCGGGGAGCTGGAGGCCGGGGGCGCCCGCCGGTCGGGCCTGGGGTCCGCGGCGCGGCCGCCATGAAGCTGACGCGGAAAATGGTCCTGACCCGGGCCAAGGCGTCGGAGCTGCACAGCGTGCGCAAGCTCAACTGCTGGTGAGGCGGGGCAGCGGCCTTCTCGCGCGGTCGCCCCGGGGTCGCGGGAGGAGCCGGGGCGGGGCCGGGGTGGGCGGGGGCGGGCGGTGGGGGGCAGGTGTCATTGGCGGGAGCAGAGCCGGGGCGGGCGAGGGGCAGGTGTCGGGGTGGGGGCGGAGCCGGAGCGGGCGGGGGGCAGGTGTTAGGGGCGGGGGCGGCGGAGAGCTAGGGGTAGGGGGGAGGACGCTGGGGTTGGGGTCACCCGGGGCGCCACATTTCCCGGCCGGCCTCTGTCCCCTGCTGCCCTGTACGGCTGGGTCTGATGTCTGGCATGCCAGCAGTCACTGGGACCAAGTCGAATAGGAGACAGAACTGAACTCTTGAAGACTGAGTCAGGAAACACGTTGGTAATCGGTACTGGGGCGGCCGTGCCCAGGGGACTCCTGGCAGGTGACAGGAAGGGATGTGGGTGCGGTGGGATCCATGCAGGCTCAAAGGCGGGTAATGCCGGGTCTCACTGGGCCAAGGAAGACCAGGGTCTTCCAGAAGAGGCAGCCTGGAGTTGAAGGCTGCAGGATCTCCAGGGCTCCCTGGGGGCTCAGTGGGGTCACTGCACCCTGTCAACTGGTGGCACCGTGCAGGTGGGTGTGGGGATCAGCGAGAGCAGACGCTTCCTCCCAGGGGTGTCCCCAGACTGCCCGGAGTGTGTGAGCTCTTCCCTGTTCATTAAAAAGCTGTTCTCTCTGCCCTGGCACATCTGGTGTTTTGGCCACAATTCCCCTGTGTGATTTGCTTTCGGTAATGCATTTCTTTGTTTTGCATGGGGTGGTCAATGCTGTCACTAAGCAGGGACAAACAACAAGCCTATTTCAGGCTTTCCGAGTTTGCTTGATAAGTTGCCTGCTCAGCCTTTGAACTTGGCCTCTTATAAAGACTGCCTTGTTTATGTCAGTGAGGGAGACTAACCTTCTGCTACTCGGGGACCATGAGGAAGAGCTCATGTTTTTGTGTCTTTTTTTTTTTTTTTTCAAGAGAATTTAATTAATATTGTTAAAACAAAAACCATTTTTGAATTCATGGTTACTGTATTTTAAGATAAACTGTATTTAGTAAATTTAAAACATAACAATGCAACCTAGCTATGAACCTATATATAATAGAAAAAGATAGCAGGAAAGTGTTACAGTTCTGGGCATGACTTCACAAAGAGAATATTGAATATAATTAATGTGCTCTTGTGCAACAAAAACAGCAATAAGCGATATCATCCATGTACACTTTAGCACATTAAATTTAGGAGAAAGAAATAAGCTATGGAATTGCATTCTTCATTTGTGAATAATGAAATTATATTTAAAAAAATACATTTTCTGTCCAAAGTTTATTTACATTTCATTGGCTAATTCTAAACTTGGCATGAAAGCTATTTCATGAGGCTAAATGGAAAAAAAGTAATGAAAGATGCTAAGCCCAAGTCTCACAAAAATACAAGAGTTTTACTTGATATCCATAACATTCCAAAATATACGAATTCCTATTTGGTCTAGTATTGCAACCAGTGTCCAAATCAAATAGTATTTTTGTGTCTTACAAATGGAGCAATCCCTGCTACTCCTTATCTGAAAAGTACCACCCCGTCAAACATACAGTTTTTGTTGAAAAGCAACAAAAACAATTTTCTACACTTTTGCCAGTTATATGGGCAACTTTCCTTTCTTACCATGCCATTACAATCCTAGAATCTTTAGGTTTGTAGGCAGTCATTGGTAATTTTGGAAATTTTTGTCTTCGATGTTTTTTATTCAACTTTAACAATATTAAAGTATGTATCTCTTCTCTCCCCAGGGGCAGCCGCCTCACAGATGTAAGTATTGTGCTGATCAGCTCCAAGTGGCCGATCCCTAAAAGTTGTAGCTTCTTCCCCAAGAGAATTTTTGAGTTCACAAAACTGCACTTATCAGTTCAGTCCCACACTTGGTTCTTTGTTCACTTAGTGGTTTTCATTATGCAAAATCACTAATGGAAAAACAGTTTTTTTTTTTTTTTTTTTGAGATGGATTTTCCCTCTTGTTGCCCAGGCTGCAGTGCAATGGCGCAGTCTCGGCTCACCACAACCTCTGCCTCCCGGGTTCAAGCGATTCTCCTGCCTAAGCCTCCCAAGTAGCTGGGACTGTAGGCACGTGCCACCACGCCTGGCTAGTTTTGTATTTTTAGTAGAGAAGGGGTTTCTCCACGTTGATCAGGCCGGTCTCAAACTCCTGACCTTACGTGATCCACCCGCCTCAGCCTCCCAAAGTGCTGGGATTACAAGTGTGAGCCACCACACCCAGCCCTCTTTTTTAATATTTTGAGATGCAGTTTTGCTTTTGTTGATCATGCTGGAGTGCAATGGTGTGATCTCGGCTCACCACAACCTCCCAGGTTCAAGCGATTCTCCTGCCTCAGCCTCCCAAGTAGCTGGGAGTACAGGCATGCGCCACCACGCCTGGCTAATTTTTGCATTTTTCGTAGAGACAGCGTTTCATTATGTTAGTCAGGCTGGTCTTGAACTCCTGACCCCGGGTGATCTGCCCACCTCAGCCTCCCAAAGTCTTGGGATTACCGGTGTAAGCCACTGCACCTGGTGGAAAAACAATTCTCTAGTGCCAGGCTTATTTTGCAGTTCCCGTTAACACCCGTATACATGAAACGCCCTCTGTCACATGGTCACAGAGGAGGGGAGCAGTCAGTTTGGAACTTGCTCTCACCTGGAAAGGAATCCCAGGAGGGTTTGTTTTCCTTTGTTAAGGGAACATTGAAGGTCTCCCCAGCCTCCTGACTGCACCCCCTCTTCTTTGTCACATCTAGCTTGGTGCCCCCCACCACTACCCAAAAGACAGGCAGAGAGTCAGCCCTGCTGGGAGAACTTGAGCATGTGCATCTGTGAAGTGATTTCTTTCTCCTCTGTCTCATTCTCCTCAGTCCAGAACACCCCAGCTTACACAGGGATTGCATACCAATTGTTTATTTCTCTTTTATTTGAGATGGTCTTGTTTTGTTGCCCGGGCTAGAGTGCACTGGTGCCATCTTGGCTCACTGCAACCTCTGCCTCCTGGGTTCACGTGATTCTCCTGTCTCAGCCTCCTGCCTACCATCATGCCTGGCTAATTTTTGTACTTTTTGGTAGAGATGGGGTTTCATTGTGTTGGCCAGGCTGGTGTCAAAACCCCTGAGTTCAGGTGATCCGCCTGCCTCGGCCTCCCAAAGTGTTGGGATTACAGGTGTGAGCCACTGTGCCCAGCCCAATTATTTATTTCTTTATTCTCCTTTGTTTTTTAATTTAGTAGAGACAGGGTTTCATCATGTTGGTCATGCTGGTCTCGAACTCCTGACCCCAGGTGATCTGCCCGCCTCGGCCTCCCAAAGTCCTGGGATTACAGGTGTGAGCCACCACACCCGGTGGAAAAACAGTTCATTTGAACTGAGCAGCGGTACTTTTCCTTAAAGACAAAAAGCCAGACACATGGCACCTGCATGTAATCTGTTTTGTGCTGTAGCTGAAGTACTGTAAGTTTAGCAGTGAATATACAAATGCGCCACAGCCGTAGACACGAATCCCTTACACATGGGATGCATCTGACCAGGCTGTGAGCTTCACTGAGGTGGGGGCCCTGCCTGGCACCCAAGCTGCTGGCACCGTGCCTGGCGTATGGTGGGTGTTCACATATGTGGGTGTGACCAGCAGGTTGTGCAGGCTTTGTGGACCACCCTGGGCACCTTGCCACGGAATTGACAGTCCCAGTGTGGTCGGTCTGCCTTTCGGCCCAGCCCTGTTGTCAAGAAGTGATTTCCATCCTTGTCAAGAAGTGATTTCCATCCTTTCCTTGCTTTCTGCCCCTGCATAGGGGACACTGGGGGCCCCTTACCTGATGTCCTTTGAGGCATCTAAAGTAACGAATGCCCTGTCTGCACTGCTGGCAGCATCTGACAGAACGGTGCTGTTGTAAAGTTTGATAAGGAGAGAGCACATGCAAGGAGGAGCCTCAGTTTCTCCCTCAGGTTGTGGGGCATCTGGGCTGCAAGGTGGGGCGGGGGGGGAGCCCAGCATGCTCGTGGGCATTCCCCTCCGGCCCAGAAGTGGAGTTGGCTGTGGCTCTGACAGCTCTCTGTGGCTGGTGGCAGTGGCCGAGTGCCCTGCTGGGCCATGCTTGCCAGCCGTGCTCCTTCCCTCCTAGATCTCCATTTGCCGGGAGATGCCCAGCCTGGAGGTGATCACGCTCAGGTACCTCGCTCCTGCCGTCATGCTCAGCCTGGGGCCTGGAAGCTGGGCAGAGCCTCACGTCCCTCCCGTGGACCCAGAGCTGTGAGATAACCTGGAAGCCTCCAGCACAGACTGAGGGCAGCTTCCAGAAGGGGAGGGGCCAGGGCAGCCAGAGCTGGGCCTACCCTGTGGCCCCAAGTTCAGCCCGCCTTCCTCAGGGCCTCACCTGGGTCTCCCAATGGCTCCTGTCCTCTGCCTGCCCTGTAGTGCCCCTGCCCACCCTCGGCCTGTGTGCTCCGATAAGCCATCACTGTCTTGCTGGGCCAGTCGGTCGTGGGGCCCTCCTAAGGATGCTTGGTGGCCCGCCCTGGCTGCCCTCAGTGGTGGCTACGCCCTGCCCCAGGACTCCAGAATCCTGGCCTCTTCTGCCCAACCCCCCACCCCGTGCTACCACTGCAGGAGCTCCCCAGTTTCTCTGCGTCCCGTGACCTGTCCCCCCTTCTGGGGTCACTGCCCTCCCAACAGACTAAGGAAAGCTTGAATGAAGCAAACATTACTGGAGTTTCAGGCAGATGGGGAGTATTTGAGGGCTTTGGGGAAGAGAAGAGCTCCCTTTATCCCCAAATTCCCTTCTACCCACTGTGGGACCCGGGAGGGGGTGGACACTCATGGCTCACTGCTGCCTGCCAGACGCTGGGTGGGGCCTTCTGTGGGTTTCTGCATTTAAAAGCTCACAAGGGTCTAAACCCTTCGGGGAAACCCCCGCCCCCATTTGGCAGCTCAGAAGGCTCCGGGGCTTGCCCTCTGAGAGTGGCCATTGCAGGACCCGGTCCCTGAGTGTGACCTACCTTCTTGATCTCACAGCCAGCCACAGAGTAGGCCAGCCCCTGCCCATCCTCCAAAATGCTTTCTGAGGTTGGCATTGCCATGGTGATGCCCATGCCCAGCCTGCTGCCTACCGTGGGCGGAGGCCAGTCCACCTGGTATTCAGGCATCCCCAGTGTGGGCACCAGCCTGTCCTGCCTGAGCCTTGCTGAATGAACGAATGAATGAAACAGGCTTGGAGGCATGCTCCTGGGTCAAGTCTCAGACCTCCCACCTGTGGGCTGGCTAACCTTGGGCGAGGCATGGCCCTCTCTGTGCTTCAGCTTCCTTCCTGTAACATGGTAGGTATTATAAGTGCCCACCCCACAGGGAGAGGAGGAGGCCATGCAGCCCAGTGCAGAGGTTTAGCAGGGCTGTGGTGCACGCTGTGGGGCTTGCTTCATCAGTCAGCTCACACTTAGGGTGACGCTGGGATTCAGCCCTGCCTTGGAAGGCCTTACCTGACAGGTCACCTTGGAGCTCATGGCTCCTACGATGGCAGGAGGCTTGGAGCAGGACTATGGGTCTAGCGTTACCCCTGCCATGCACCGAGTCACCCAGGGGGCACAAGCCCTCCGAGCGCCAGGCCACTCGTGTGCAGGGTCATTTCTGTCACATCTCAGGAGGGACAGGACCCCCAAGGGTGTTGACCAAGCTCAGGTGCGTGCGTGGTGCCTGCATGCCTGACTGCACTGGAGTGGAGTGGGGAGCGCCACTGAGCAGGCAGGAAGCATCGAGGAGGCCGTGGGTCCACATGTCAGGCTGCACAGGCAGACTCCGTCCTGGAAAGCGTCCCACGGCCTTAGTTTTGCTCTTGGCAAAATGGGCAGCCTCCTAGCTAGAAGCCGCATGAGAGGATACCTGGGAAACGCTGAGTGAAGGGACAGTACCAGGGGTGGCGTCAGGGAGAGGAGCTGAGCACCAGGCGCTGCCTGGGGGGCCCTGGTGACCCCTCTTCTAAGGCGTCTACCAGACCCTCCATGCCAGGTCCCTGGCTCCCGGAGGCAGACGCTCTGTCCCTTTGAAGGCCTGTGGGAGTGGCTCTGCCTGTTTGGTTGTGGGGGGATGGACCCCACGAAGCCTTTCAGCCGCCTGTGTTTCCTCTGATGCATCCATGTTTGGTGGAATGGACATGAAGCCCATACCCAGGGTTTCTACTCTCACGTGGGGGTTTTGGAAATTCCGTGCTCACTTCCACGTCACGTGGAGCTGGCTCGAATGTTCCGCCCTGAGTTTTTCTGGCCACTCCCTTCTTTGGGGCAACATGACGTGTCCCTTGAGAGGCCTTAGTTTCCTCGCCTGTGAAGGAGGCTCATCCTCTGCCCCCCACTGGATGCCCTAAGGAGCCAGATGCGGAACGAGGGGTCCATCCCAGTCCACCTTCATGTTCAGGGCCCAGCCTTCCTAGAAGATCCCTCCTTGGCGCAGGTCCTGCCGCCTGTGACCCGTGATAGCGGATTTGGGCTTCTCGGGAGAGGGCAGGGGCACAGGTCCCATGAGTGCCTTTTCCTGGGACTGGAGATGGAGAGGCAGCACTGGCCACACCCCTCGCTGACTGTGCTGGTCTCCATGCAGTGTCAACAGCATCTCCACCCTGGAGCCTGTGAGCCGGTGCCAGCGCCTGAGCGAGCTGTATCTGCGGAGGAACCGCATCCCCAGCCTGGCCGAACTCTTCTACCTGAAGGGGCTGCCGCGCCTGCGGGTGCTGTGGCTGGCCGAGAACCCGTGCTGCGGCGCCAGCCCTCACCGCTACCGCATGACCGTGCTGCGCACCCTGCCGCGCCTGCAGAAGCTGGACAACCAGGGTAGGTGGCCGCGGCGGTGTCGCCACCCTCTGAAGCAAGCCTGGTGGGGGATTTTTCCAGCCCTCTTTTCTCTTCTGCAAATGTCTGGCCTGGCGGGACACGTGTGTCATGTGGCTCCCCCTCCAGAGGCCGTTCCCTGGCTTCAGTGTCTCCTCTCAGTCCCGCCACCTGAATGCAGCAGCGCAGTGTTGGGTCCCTCCTATGGCCACCACATGCTTATCCCTCACCCCGCAACTGCAGGATGGCGTAGCCAAGCAACAGGGTTCCTCCAGCTGCTGTGAGGGGCAAATGGGGGTCAGTGTCTGGCGCTGGTCCACGGGGACCAGGCGGGCTCCACGGGCTGCCGTGGACCTAGGGTGGTGGTGCCGTCGCACACCCGCCGCGGGGAGGGGCTGCCCACACCGCAGCGCCCACCGCTGCGCTCTACCTGTTGGAGACCTAGGGCTCTCCGTGATCAGCCTCCGTGCGGCCGCGCGCCTCCTCTGGCCAGTGCCAGCTCCGGTGCGGTTGCAGGCGGCGGTTCCGTTCCTTACTGTTCATCCCTGCCATTCTCAGCACGCGTTTCTCATCCTTGTCAGTCATGTGGGCACTAATACTTTCCCCCAGACCGTTTTATTAATACTCATAATAGAAATAAACTTCAGGGAAATTGATAACATGAGTGAAATGGAATAAATTCAGTAGTCTGTTCCTCTTTCTGTTGTGTCTTAGTTGAGGCTGTGATGAGTACGTGCTTCTGGCAGAGGCTGGCATTCAGATTCCACCATCTGCTGTGTCGGCCCGTGCCGGGCTGGGGATGGGACGGTGAGGGACCGGCCCCCACTCTGGGAGTTGCCGTGGAGGTGGACACATGCTGCATTTCACCAGCAGACTGTGCTGAGGCCGCAGTGAGGATGGGAGCGTGCGTGTGGCCTGCACAGGGGTGAGGCCACTCATGCTGCCTTCTGTCCTTCACCCAAAGCTGTGACAGAGGAGGAGCTGTCCCGCGCACTGATGGAGGGAGAGGAGATCACCGCCGCCCCGGAGGGAGAGGGCATGGGCAACGGCTGCCCCAAGCCGGGCTTCGCGCTGAGCTCCCTCAGCTCTGCCGCCGAGACTGGCCAGGACTCTCTGGATGGCGAGGAGGAGGCAATGTGAGGCTGGAGGGCAGCGGGGCCTCCGCAGCCTGTCCCTGTCCCCCAGGGCCCTCCCACGGGGACTGAGTGGGGCTCCCAGTGAGCTGCATCTTGGAAGTGAGGGAGAGGGACTGTCCAGGGCGGGTGTCTGTTCTCATCCATATTCTATGAGTAACCTGGGTAGCGGGTGTCCATTGTCATCCGTATTCTCTAAGAGTGACTCAGGGCCCAGGTAGCAGGTGTCCGTTCTCTTCTGTACTCTCTGGGAGTGACCCAGTGCCCCAGGTAGCAAGTGTCTGTTGTCATCCGTATTCTAGGAGTGACTCAGGGCCCAGGTAGCGGGTGTCCATTCTCCTCTCTATTCTCTGGGAGTCACCTGGGGTCCAGATAGTGGGTGTCTGTTCTCTGTACTCACTGAGAGTCACCTGGGGTCTGGGTAGTGATTTCAGTGGCAGGTTCATGTTTTGCCCAACAGCAGATATACCAGGGAGCAGGAGAGGGGGTAAGCCAGGCCCCATGCCCTGACAGAGAAGGCTCTCGGCTTGGGAGCTTGTGAGGGGCAGAGTCCCTGGTGGGGGTGCAGCCTAGGGCCACGCTCACTGGAATGGTTGGTGGCGTGGCCATCAGTGTTTGTACAGCCTTGGGCCCAGGGGCCATGGAGGGGCCACAGGGCTGACTCCGTGGTGTGGCACGGGCGCCTCCCGAGGCAGTTGGCAGCGGGTCACAAATACATTTGAGAAGCGGGGTACTTCCCTCCTGCTTGGCAGGTCACACCCGCTGCTGGGGCCTGCCATGGGGGTGTCAGATGTGACCTCGGTCGGGCAGCCGCCGTCCTGCACAGGGCCTGACCCTGTGGTCAGCAGCTCACCCTGCAGCATTTGTGTGTTCAGGTGCTCCCTGCCCTGTCCCCAAGGCCCTGGGTGAAAGGTATTACAGCTGGGGAGCCCCAGGATGCAGGGAGGGTGCCCCACAGGTGACGTAACTGCTGGGCTCTCCAGAAGCTGCCATCAGGAGCCGCTGACGTTATCGGAGTTGACTCCTCTTCCCCCTGCATGCTGGGTGGGATTTGTATGAGCCCTCCCTTGCCTGGATGTGGCCTGCAGATGTGGTTTGCAGAGGCCCCCGGGGCCACGAGCCGCCCGACCCTCACACACCTTTGTCTCCCTCTCACCAGCAGCGTCCAGGGTGAGCTTGGCCTGAATCCCTGTTCCCAGGACCAGTTTCCTTCCTTCTTACCCAGGGATACTTCGAGCAGCCACAGGAGCAGGGTGAGTGACAAGGGCCATTAGGGGGCCCACCGCACAGAAATCATGGGGGAGGGTGGAACCTCAGAAAGCTGCGCCCCAGAGGGAAGCTGCATGTGTGGATCCGTGAGTGTGCACACACGTAACACGTGCCCCGCACGCGGCCGTCCTGACCCTCAGCCTCTTCTGGTCTCCTGGTCTGTGGAATGTGGGCCTGGGCCCTGCTGGGGTGAGGGCAACAGGAGTGGCATGGAGGAAGCAGCACACACGTGTTGACAGGCGCGGCTCCTCTGCTCAGATTCTCTGTGTGTTCCAGACGGTCAGTCACCTGGGCACACCCCAGCCCCCGACCAGCTGCTCCTGCTGGGTGCCGCTGGCCAGGCCCCGGCCCTTGTGGTGGGAAGCAGCCCCGTGGTGCCGGGTGGGCTTAGTCTGCACCCCTCTGCCCCCAGAACGTCCTGACCGCGATTCTACTGCTGCTGCGGGAGCTGGACGCCGAGGGGCTGGAGGCCGTACAGCAGACGGTGAGCGGCCGGCTGCAGGCCCTGCACGGGCAGGAGGTGCAGGAGCAGGCCGAGGGACCACCCACAGGACCTGAGCACGTGCCACACTCCGTGGGAATCCCAGCGTCTTCCCCAGCCCCCAGGAGCTGGAGGGCAGCTACCACAGCCAAAGCCCCGGCCCCACACAGAAGCCTCCCGCTGGAGGGGTGTTAGGTGCTGGCTGCCGGCCGAGGCGGCAGAGACGCCTGTCCACACCAGGATGTCCCCAGGACTCCCCTTCTGTGGTCAGGAGGGTCTGGGCTGGCCCAGACTCTTGAAGGGAGGGCTTTGCAGGCTGTCTCCCTAATAAAGGATTTTCCCAAGTCTCATTTGGAAGCAACATTTTTCCCAAGGCATGGCCCTGACGATCTTCCTGAAAGCAAGGGCCATTTCTCAGCCGCATGAGGGACGTGTCCACAGGTGGCTTGGCTGATTCCAGCCCTTGGTCATTGCATAGATTCCTGTTGAGCAAGGGAGACTTCCAGAAGGCGTCCACAGGGACTCCTGCCCTGAGCTGCTGTCGGCAGGCAGGCAGCACCTTCGGGAAAGGGAGGTTTTCTTGGCTGGGCGGGGCAGGTGCGCCTTCCTTTCTCCTGTGAAGAGCTGCAGTGGGGCCCTCTGCTGTCCCAGTGAGGCTGTGGATGGACAGGCCTGTTCCCTCTGGGGTCTGGGCCTGGCACAGGAAGCAGCTGGGCTGGGGGAGTCTGTGAAGCAACTGAGAGGGGTTTTCCTTCCTCTGGGAAGAGGCACAAGTCTTACGAGGATGCCAGGGTCCAGGCAGTGACCCATAGCCCTGGGGAAACTTCCCAGTGCCCCCAAAAATCAAGGGAGCATTCATGTGAGAGGGGGAGTCAGCCTTCCAGCTGGTGCGTAGGAAAGCCATCTACCTGGGCCCTTGTCCTGAGTGGGGTTGGGACCCAGACCTCCGTGAGATGTCCCCGTCTGTCGCCGAGTGGTGATGGGTGGCTGCATGTACAGGCCACCACTCTCCCCAGCCTGGGCCATGCAGTCTCATTGCCCACTGCCACCAGAGCCGGCTGCAGTACCGGGACAGCCACCATCCCTGGATTTGGGGAAATCCAGGGTGAAGACAGTTGCTCACACATGCAAGTTCTCCAGGAGGAGTGTGAACTCTGAGAGGTGCAGAGTGAGGGGTCGCCGCTGGGGACGTGGAGGGTGGGCAGTTCAGGCCTGTCTGCCTCCTTGTAACTGTGGTGGTGGGGGGTGTCCTCAGCAAAGCGCTTTGTTGGAACGGCTGAGGTTGTTAAAATTGTGTCCCCTTCTGTGCCCCCTGGCATGGGCTGCTGGGGGTACACGGGGCCTACACCAGCACCCTCCTGCACCACACCATGCACACCTCAATCAGGACTATTGGAGGGGACCTGTGGGGGCAGCTGTCTGCCCTCGGCCCTCGGTTCCTCGCTCCCCCACGCCCACACCATTGCTGCCTCCACCCTCAGCCTTCTGCCCACTCACCACTCCCCTTCTTGGCGACTCCTCACCCACTGCCCCCTGAAGAGCCTGCAGCCATGGAGGACAGCCAGAAGCACTGCAGCCTGAGGCACCCCACAGTCCCACCACTCCTCGTCATCCCAAAAGTTGGGTTTTCAAGCCGGGCAGGCACTGGCATCACACACGTCCCATTAACCCAGTTCACAAGGGAAGACCGAGGGCCCGGAGGCCGCGTCACTCCACTTGAAACGCCAGCTCCGTGCAGCCAGAAATGGGCCTGATGCAGGGGCTCTCACCACAGCATGTCACCCAGGAGGGAAGCACCCACTGTCCCCAGAATCACCCACAGGCCACCTGGGTGCAGCAGCTGAGTGGCAGCTGAGCAGGTTCTAACACCATCAGGCAGGGCAGACCGAGGGAGTCTACTCGGAACTGAGTCCTGATCCCAACACAGCATAGCTCCCAGAACATGCATGCATGGTTCCCAGGGCCTGTGCACCTGCCTCTGTTCCTTTGAGACAGCTGCAGACCCCGGGAGCAGTGTCCTTGGACGATTGTCTCCTCCTGGGCCTGGCCCCAGGACTGCCCCCACTCAGAATGAACTGGAAGGCCCCTAGGTGTGGGCCCCTCCTCCCAGCTCCAGAATGAAGCAATCTGGAGGCCTCTGGCACTGGGGCCAGCACAGTGAAGGGCTGCCTTGGGAATACCAAGGTGCCCCAGGGCAGGAGGGTCCCAACACTCTCACCTGGTCCCTAGAGCCACCCTACTGGCTAAGCCCAACAGAAGACTGCCCTGGGGCCCTCAATGTGGCCTACAGGCCCCTCCAAGCCAGGGTCTCCCCTTGGACACCTCCTGTGTCCCGTAACCACATACCCAGGTGGCACTGTGGGCAGGAAGCAGCCCTCTCTGGCAATCACCTGCCAAGTGGGTGCTGCAGAGCTGTGGGTGTTACAGAGCGTGACTTCAACCCGCAGGTTAACAGGAAAACCATGAGCAAGGCATCCGCCACCCCAGAACCGCCTGCAGGACTCAGCCTGGCCCCTGGCGGGAGCAGCTTCCTACTGCCTTCTCTCCCGCTCTGGCACGTCCACCATCAGTGTCTCCTGGATGCTGGCTTAAGCCATCTGCAGATCAGAGACCCCCACTCAGGTGAGGCTGGGCAGACAGGGGAGTGAGGTTGTACCCTTCTGCCCCCAGGGCTGGACCAGGAGGGGCTCAGGTCACCTGGTGGCCTCCCAGGGCACACGTCCCTTTGACCTGGCCCAGGCTCTGGCCAGAGGGCCCTCTGCCCCTGGGGGCGGCTGCCCACTGGGCTGGCCTCGAGGGGCGCTCCCCTCCCTCCGAGGATTGTGCTCTCCAGAGACCGATGCACCCCACCATCAGGGAGATTTTATTTCTAGAAAAGGTGACAGGTGCTGCACATAGGCAGGAACAGGTCACAATGAGGCAGGGCTGGGGCCTCCCCATCTCAACCCAACCCATGGGCGTCGGCTGGCCCATGTGAGTGAGCCCATCGTAGGGAGAGGCTGAGGGCCCATGGGGCGCCAAAGCCAGGGCAGCAGCCTCCAAACACCAACAGCCCCACGTCCCGGCGCAGGAAGGTGGATGTCCCAGGGCACTCTGTCATCCTGCTGGAGGGCCTGGCAGGCTGGTCTCAAGGCACCAGCCGCGGGGGCCTGGTGGGTGGCCAGGGATAGAGGCGTGGCTGGGGTGAGCAGGGCCACAGCCCCCACCTGCCTGCAGGCTCCAGACACAATAGCCCAGGCCCCAGCTGGCATGCAGTCCTGCGCTACAGCTAGCGTCACTGGGGCCAGCTGGCGTGGTCGGCGCCGGGAGGGGCATGGGCGTGGCCTCAGAAGCCCTTTTCCATGCTCAGAGTGCGGCGGGTCACGTGCTCCAGCTCCCCCGACACGTAGGCAGCCATGCTGATGCGGTAGTGCGCCAGCATCTTCAGCATGAGCCGCAGGCTCAGCCACCACTGCTCCCGCGGCATGCGGTGCCTGTGCAGGAGGCGGGTGATGGGGAGTCAGGGGTCAGGGCAGCTCTTCAGGCCACGCCCCCACCACACCACGCCCACGCCACGCCACGCCTCCGTCCTGTGCATGCCCCACCCCCCCCCAGCATCTCCACATCCACGGAGCCCTGCAGCGTCTGGGTCAGGTGTAGGGTCTCCATCCCTCAGAGCCACAGCACAGAGTCGGCCGCAGCCGCCTTCAGGCATGCCCAGTCCTGACTGCCCAGGCTGTGCCCCATGCCCACCAGAGGGTCTCGCTCAGGGTCACGCTCAGAAGACGTGGGCATGGTCCCTGCTCTCCGAGGCCTGGCGGGGACCGGGCATGGGGGACAAGGAAGCCTTGCGGGATCGGGGTGAGAGCGGGGCTGGGCCTGGCACGCCTGCCCTGGGGAAGGTCTGGGCCACCCCTCAGCCCCACCCTCCTCCATGAGGCTTCCATGGAACTCACTCGAAATCAGTGTCTTTCTTGAGCTCAGTGACGGGGCTGAAGGCCACCGCCTTCTTCTTCAGGCCGATCACACAGGCAGAGTCTGGGGCATTGGCGAACACCCGTCCTGTAAACACAGGCACGTGGTGGCCCCCGAGGCTGGCACCACCCCAGGGACCCAGGGGAGGGCAAGGTGAGGCCTCAGGTCGCCCCCACCACCTACCCTTGCGGTAAACCTCACGCAGCTTCTCCGACACCCAGAGCATGGCCTTCACCCCCAGCTTGGTGCCATAGTTCCGGTCAAATGGGGTCGGAGCGCCACCCTGGAAACAGGTGAAGCCCAGCTCCTGGTGCTGCCGGGGCTGCCTGGGCCGAGGAGAGAGGCCCAGCCCTGGTGCAGACAGGGTCCCCACAGGAAGCCTCCCACGCAGCTTCTGAACACCCATCCCTTCAACCCTGAACAGTTCCCATCTGTTCCTGAATGGAGGCCCCCGCCCGTTCTCTGCAGCTCCAAGCCAGGCTAGAAGCCACCTCCTGAGGCTGACAGTCGGCTGCCTCCTGGCCAGGTACACTGACCCCTGGGCCCCTGCCTTGGGCCCCAGGCCCAGCGACCCTGACTCCCCCTCCCTGGCTCAGAAAACCCAGGACGAGGGCTTCCCATAGGGCCACAAGGCAGGTAGCATGCCAGGATCTAGGTGAGGGGCTCAGCAGAGTGGCCGCAGGAGGCCTGGTCGCAGGGTTGCGGAGCTCTGCTCAGCATCTGAGCGCACTGGCTTGTGCCCCAGCCCCACCCCTTCTTGGAGCGAGACCTCACCCAGTTATGGGCCTCTGACCCCTCACCACTGAAGGGCACACGTGCCGGCCAGGGCGTAAGAACAGAATAGCCAGCCAAGGAGGGCCTGCCAGGAGTGCCATTGGGTACCCGTGAGGCTGGGACTCCTGGGCCTGGGGACAGATGGTGGCAGGGATGAGGGGTGGGCCTCCCGACTGGCACCAGGGCCCCTCCACGGCCCCACCCCCCACCTGCTGCAGGTGGCCCAGCACATTGGTCCTGCAGTCGAAGACGCCCTTGCCCTCTGACGAGTAGAGGTTGTACAGGAACTCCGTGGTGTAATGGTCGTGGCACTTCTCATTCCTGAAGGGGACAGCAGGGCCCGAGTCAGGGGAGAGAGTTCAGGTTTCCCCCTCATCTCAGTCCCCGCTGGGCCAGGCCTCCAGGCCAGGTTGGGAGAGGTTGTGGCAGCTCCGAGGAAACCCACCCTCACCCACCCTCTCCAAGGCCTCCTCCTGCCGGCCGCCCCTCAGCAGCCCCAAGGGTCGGAAGCCCCGCTGTGGCCCGGGACTCCTCCTCCCACAGGCTGGGCC